ATATTGTTGCGTCCCCGCGTCCCGTCCCGCTGAATGTATTTCTCATCTGTTTCTTGAATTCTTTCGAAGAAGATCGTTTCCGCGCGCATAGTCAAGATATTGTTATACACAACGACTGTCAGAAAGTCTAAGCCCAGCTGTCAAGTTGTGCGGACGCGCGTCTATTTGTAATCCGTTTTATGATTATTCTGAATTCTTGTATGTTACTCGCGATTTATTAAAATTCTTGTGCATCTTAAATCGCGTTATTTACGAGTGTACGAGTGTATGCCGATTGTCGCGCGCGTTCGATATATATCGTTCCGCGCACGCAACAATATATATAAATTATTCATCAATAGTATATATATTCAAAATATACATATTTCTCGTTTCGTTTTATTTCTTTAATAGTGATTTTAAATTGTAACATATATAATACACATATTTATAAAAAATATTCCATTTTATTTTAAAATAATTAAAGCATTTATAAAATAATAAAATTTTTTATTAATTAATATTTTCAGATACTTTTTATATTTTATAAAACATTTCATATTAATATATTTATTTAAATATTTCATGTAAATATAAATTTTTTTATTCATCAATTTTTTAAAAGTTTATATAAGAAATATAAATTATTTTGTAATTGCGATTTATAACATTAAAATATATCTATTTAAAAATTAATTGCGCGCAATAATTAGTTTTAAAATCAATTATTTTGAACATTGCTTCGTATAATAGATTTTCTTTTATCTTTTATATTTTTATTTATCGTTTATATTTGCGAATTTAAATTTATGTACTGTATTACAAAATAAATTTCAAATTATGTATTATATTATATATAAAATTATATATACTTGTAACTCTCCCATGGGGTACACCTTGTCGCGGTGGGAGGGCTTAGTACCTGGACGGTGCCTTGAGTTTTATCTTAAATTTTTCTGTTTATGATAAATCTTAAGATGCCTGAATGGGAAGCTAAGTACCCTTTCGTTGTCGGTGCCGTCAATGTTCCGCGGACGGCAAGCGTTTCGTTACCGAGTTTTCGTGTTGTAATATTCTCGCGTTGTCGCGTTTTCGCGGAACTTTTGGACTTTTTCATATAAAATCCCAATTTCATTTATTGTCACGAGTCTCTACTTCCGATGCCAACTAACTGGGATGCTTCGAGTTTGCACACGTTGCTCTGCAACGTACACTCGTGCTTCATGCTTCGTGATTCGGCCCGAATTAATTAGAACTCGATCGATGGAATGGTCGTCAATGGGTCCCTTCTCTTTGCTCGTCTACAGCCACACGCACTGCGTGTGTTAACCCTGTCGAGGAGTCGAGTGGATTCTCCTGGGCACGATTTTCGCTCGGTAAAAGAGGTTGCCTCCCCATTTTCTAAATTGCTAAATGTTAGCATTTAAAAAATGTGAGTATCCTCTTCTTTTGCCGTCAGCCTGGTGTAGCATATAGCAACCGCGAGAGGCATAATATGTCCGGGCGGAGCACCTAAAATCGTGCTTAGCGGGTCCAGGTTCGATACGAGATAGGATAATTATGCGCGAAAAAGAGTTGGTGAACTTCATTTTCCTCTATTTCCGTCAATCGTTTCGTCTTCTTTCCGGTTTAGGCTTAGTCCTTGTTCGTTGTATCGTTACATTCCCGAGCTGTTGACTCGAAGCTGATTCTCGTAAATGAAATGAGATTTTCGCTCGTACCGAAACCGGGAGTGTCATCCAAAGTATATACATATTAAGTACATCGCGCGATTACATAGAACATTTTTTATCGTACTGAAATAGTGCGGGAACCGTTTAGTACCGCGCGTAAAATAGCGAAAATAGCGATATAAAAATATCGCTCGTGAGTGCGGGAGTGCAGTTAAGTATCGCGCGTCTAAGACTGAGAGGAGGAGAAGTCCTAGAAGAGGCATCAGGCTCCGGCAAAGCAACTTTCGGTAAGCAATTTATTTATTTGTAATTTGTAATTGTATTATATATTAAATATATTAAATATTAAATATATTTATTATAATTTAAATTAAACAATTAATCGCATTAATTAATTTGATGTCTTTATTTATATTTTTTATTTATATTTAAATAATAGAGAATTAAAGAAAAAGATTTTTAAATTAAAGCTATACTCTTGTAAAGATATAAGCTTTTATAAAGTTATAAGAGAATTATTAGTAACGTTTTTTTTAATTTATAGAGTTATTTTATTAATCTGCTATTATTATATGCATCGAACATAAAATTCAATGTATACATTAATTTTTGAAATATTAATTATTTTGAACACTGCTACATTAGAATTTTCTTTTGTATGTTATAGATCGATGCAGCAACCCTGATGATCTGAGAGGAGGGCTTAGGAGAGGCATCCTGCACCAGCGGAACAACCTGATGGTTAGTATTATTTATATTAATTGTATATAAATAAATAAATAAATTTATTAATTTGATTTATATGAATAATTTAAACAAGAAAAATTGGGAAAATTTTTGTAATAATTCTTTTTATAAAAGTTTCTACTTAAAAAAATAATTATAAAATTATATTAGATTTATATATCTATTTATAATTGTGTGCATTGGATATAAAATTCAATGAGTCTAATAATAATTTCTTAAAATATTAATTATTTTAAACATTGATATAATTTGGATTTTATATTTGTATGTTACAGACATCGTAGCTTCAATATCAACTCCGCTGTTGCGCATCAGTGCTGGTGAGTGACAACCTTTTATTTTAAAGCAAAGGATTTATAAATGCATGAAAAAATCCGTTGCTTCTAACTCTCGGTTGGCGGGACAGTACGCGTGTAAATATTAAAGTAAAAGGAAAAATATTTTTATAATAAAGATAGATGATATTTTTATTGCAATTTTATGATAGATATACATGAAATATTTACTTCCATTATATATATCGGCCTTTATAAAACAATCTTAAAAATATAGATTTTTAATCTGTAAATACTTAATCTATAAGATAAAAATATTTATAAGTAATCCGTCGACTGAAAGTTAATGCATGCTAATTATATTTTATATATGCATGATAATTTATATTTTGCGATTTTTTACGAAAATGAATGACGTGCATTTAAAATCATAGACGTATTATATAATACGTCTATGGCATTGACACATCACTGATATGTGTAAAATCTTTATTCTCGTTAAGGCCTGTGAAGTGACCACGCACCGCATCGCGTGTCTCCTCAATACATTTAGTGAATTGGTTTTTCATTAATTAGAAGGAAGTAATATATATATTATATATATATATATATATATTAGAGAAGAAACATACATACAGGTAAATCGAGAGAAAGCAAATTTTACTTTTATTTAAATAAAATACTATAAAAAATTCACATTTATGCCCGAGTAGTTTTGAATTATTCTCTAAAACATTTTATAAGAAGACACTATTACATTCAGAAAATAGGAATAATTTCTGCTTGCATATAAATAACATAATCATAACTAATGATTTACACTCCATCTAATCTATACATGTATAAATATATACGAGTCAAATATGTATATAAAAATTTTGTATTGTTTGAATACATTCAAAGTTATTTATAGACAAATTTATGGAATTTATGGAATTAATAAGCAAGAAAAGTGAAAGCGTTTTCTATTTTTTGACCAACACAAGTAATGCAAAATATTGGTAAGAGATATTTTAGATAATTATTAGATGACATGTGGCACTTCAATATTCTTATAAGACTAAAATTATTAATTTTAATGTTAGAAATTATAAAAAGTATTGTTTATTTTAATTTTCTGTACATTTTAAATAACTTGTAATGTCACAACGTATGTTTGTTTCGCAGTTTGTTTCATAATTGAAAGCATACAACCGCGAATATAATTTAGCATAAAATTATTTTCTTTCATCAAATTTAATGTACTATATTTAATTTATCACATTCTTTATATTTTTTACAAACATTTCAAGATTTGTTTAATAAACATGTTCTGTATTTTGTACTAAATTGCAATCATCAATGGCTGATCTGCATGGAATTTCTATTTTTGTTCGACTTACTTTGTAATAAACTTGATCATAATTGATCATAAACTAAACTGATGAGAGAAATGTAAATTTTGTTAGCTTGATGAAGGAAATAATTGGAACTGGGCATTTGTATGGACTTTGTAATATAGAAAGAAACTACAGCTTTACATATTTTAACTCGCATTATTATCTCATATGAGATTTTTTATTTTCGCGGTATCTTTCACTTATTGATTACAGTGACGTAATTTTTAAATGTCACCTGAGGAATTAAAAGAAATGTGAATTATTAGACAGCATTAATAAGAAGGAAGCCAAAAAATATCTTAAAGATATCTAAAATATGAACACTTAAAGTCACTTTTAAGACGTTTTTTAGAGATATGTGTGTTGTCTGAATTTATATATATATGTACATACATACATACGTATATATATACTCAATAAAAAAAGAAAACAAATAATAAATATTAAAAATTTAAGAAAGAAAAAAATTTAAAAAAGGAACAAAAATTACGTATATGTAGAAAATGATTTTAAACTATTTCACATTAATTATCTGTTTGTGTACTATACATACATATTTTAACACGCATGTGTTAAATTTAATCCACTCCATTACATTATGTTTGTTACACAGAACTGATTAATTACATAGACCTACGAGGTTCAGTTACAAAAAGCAGAGTAGGTAAATCTAATAGATTTTGTGACGCTGGAAACGAATTTGGCTGCAGAATTTTCCCAGCACGATTCAGATTTTTGTGCAATTTGTAGTTGGATGTCTAAAGTGTCTAAAAATTGCACATAATTTGTAAAACTTTTTTTGTTAATAACTCTTGATAATAACTTTTTATAATAAATAACGAGTGACAGCTAAAACGAATGTTACTCAGGACAGTGACAACATATATCAAGGTCAAGATCATTAACTTCACTTTGTTTGTTGGCAGAAATTTTTCGAATCAAATAATATGGCTTTTCTCGCAACTGTTGGTCTGTCAGCTCTACTCTACTATTTCTCCTACTTAATTTTTCCCTCAATTTTGGATTGCGATATATTGCTCAGTTTTAAGGAGATATTCGGCAAGCCTATATGTAAGTACATTTATTTATTTATACGAGTGTTATTTATACGAGTCTAAAAAGCAACGGGAAACTTTCCTTTGAGTGCCATAAATTAGATGAAATAAATAAAGAACGCTTGTTTGTGCATACGATTTATATAATTGCGCCAGAAGAATTCCAGATAGAGCTTCTTTTATATACAGGGTGTCAGGAAATTTTTTGCAGTTCGGAAGTGTAAAGATAAATTGGCTTAAATTAAGAAGAAAGGTCTTCTACTGTTTTGCGATATTTGCGAATAATTAACGAAAAATTAATTAAAGAAGATCGACCAATGCGCGAAGAGAAGAGCCTTCGCTGCGCGCCGCCATTATGTTACAGTGACACCGTCTTCACCGCCATGCATTTCTAGTCACGCGCATTGGACGATTTTCTTTAATTAATTTTTCGTTAATTATTGCAAATATTGCAAAACAGTAGAAGACCTTCCTTATTAATTTAAGCCAATCTACTTTTACACTTCTGGACTGCGAAAAATTTCCTGACACCCTATATAATATTTCATAACATTACATATTTAAAAAAATTTTTTATATAAAAAAACTGTACTGCAAAATTTGTTATAACTTATATGGATCGTGTAAAATAGAGAAGCTTATAAAATATAAATGTATAATAAAATCTATATTGATTTATTTTGCTGCCACAGCTTCTTTGAAAGGCAAAATCATATGGATAACAGGTGCGTCCAGCGGTATTGGAGAGCAGTTAGCCTATGTATTAGCTAAAGCAGGCTGCAAATTAATCTTGTCCGCTCGAAGGGTCGCTGAATTGGAACAAGTGAAAAAGAAATGTCTGGAAGGTAAATTGACATATTCCTTCCAATAAATTAACGATTTTTCTTCACATAATTTGAAATATTAAATTGTATAAAAATATGCTGAGATTTTTATAAACGTTTCACTCTCTTCTCTTCAGAAAACAAATATTTAAATGACAATGATGTGGAATTGTATCCTTTAGATGTGCTTAATCTGGAATCGCACGAAAAAGCATTCCTACACGTAATCAACAAATTTGGCAAAGTATGTTTCATGTATTTACGATTTACGATCACGTTGATTTGCGCAGTTCGATGAAATCTTTTATGTATATTTGTCATTTTTTATTATATTAATATTTATTATTTATTTACTATTTATTATTTATTAATTAATATTTATCATTTTTTATTTGATCGAAAAAGAATCTTACTACGATATGCATTTCAGTTGGATATACTCGTTAATAATGCTGGTCGAAGTCAACGAGCGCAATGGGAAAACATTCAAATAGCAGTCGATAGAGAAATATTTGAATTGAATGTATTGTCCATTGTATCTCTAAGTAGATTAGCAGTTAGGTATTTTTTACAAACAGGCTATGGCCAAATTGTCATCAACTCTAGCGTCGCGGGATTTTTACCGGCAATTATGTCAGGATCCTATAATGGTACTAAACATGCGTTACACGTAAGTACTTTTAAGCCGTATACGATAATTTTGTGGACCGAACAATTTTGCGAAAATTTTTAAAAGAAATAGGTAATAACATTATATTATTTGCAGGGTTATTTCAAATCCTTAATGTTAGAACATTCTAAGCATATCGATGTGACAATCGTTTGTCCGGGTCCGATACAGACGAATTTTCTGGCCGAAAGCTTTACAGAAAGATCTTGTGTAGTATGTATTATTACATGAAACACATTTCAATAAAAAGTAACAAAAAGAATGAATATAACTCACAATTCTGTTCGTTTTTCCGAGAGTATTTTAGTGAAACTCTCTCTCTCGAGTTTCGTGAAACTCTCTGTACATTTTGCGTGTTAATTGATTATAATATATACACATATTTAATCAATTGCTGTTATTTGGTTTGTTTAGAAATACGGTATAAACACTGAAATAGACAAAAATAAAATAAGCGCAAATCGTTGCGCAACTTTAATGGGCATAGCAATTGCGAATAAGTTGGACGAAGTATGGATTGCCAAACCGTCTGTGTTGCGATTGGTCTACATATTTTATTGTTTCCCAAATTTTGGAAAATGGTACACATATATCTCCGTTTCATTTATAATTCTTTTACTTACTACTATGTAATTAAATCGATCAAAAAATTCATTCAGATTTTAAATTTTACTTTTGTTAGATTATCCATTTACTAAACGAAACTTGATTTAAAATTTTATTGATAATGTATTATATAAAATGAAAAGAATTTGAAAAAGCAGAATATGAATATATTTAGAATACATAACACAAAAAATTATAAATATAATTATATTACAATTAAAGTGATTATATAAAGTGAGTTTGCACTTATAAAATTATAGAAAGAAAGAGAACAAAACAAATGAATTTTTCGATTGATTTTAATATAATTGTATAAAATTAATAATACATAAATTTTATGTTTTTACAAAGGTTCTTGAAGATCCTAGGCCCAAAATATCTAATGAAACTACGGGATGCTAAGGTTCCTAGTCAGAATTAATTGTCATTTTTAAAACAGTCTAATGATAATTAGTATTTATTTTCAAATTTGTCAATTTTAAAATTTATCATTGTTTTTCGAGCTTTTTACCTCTTACTCTCAAAATAGCTTTCTTAAATAATGAATAATAGAGTTCAATGGCGCATAGAGAGTCGTCGTTTTCGGGGATGGGGTATATTATAAAATTTGGATTGCAATTTGTGTCAACTATATCTACGCTGGTTATGTACACCTCCGCCGAATGTTTAACCAGGATATTCAACCAGAACAGAGTCGAGAGTATTAAGAAAGATGCAAACAATATCCATCTCCATATTTTTATAATTAAATATAATGTTCATATACAATGCGTATTTATATTTGTTTACAATTGCATATATATAATATATATAGCGATTTTCTCGCAATTTACACATTTTACACTCATGTAGTATTTACGATAGTTTTAAACGGCTATTTGCATTTGATGGGGATAAATCTCATATGAACCGGATGAGAAGGACGAAGTATTATATCGGCCTTCAGTTGAATATCCTTTAAATCCTTAACGGGCTCCAAATAAAAATTATATACCAAAGGAGCTATAATAGCCTTCAATTCCAACAGAGCGAATTGTTGACCTAATAATATACAAAATTCAAAGTCTCTTAAAAACTATCAGCATGAAGAAAAATGAAAATCCCAACCAATTCACCTATGCAATTTCTCGGTCCTGCGCTGAATGATAGGTAGGAATAAGAATGACGCTTCCGTATGTTTTCGGACAAGAATCTATCAGGATCAAATATTTCTGGATTTGGTCAAAAATTAGGATCTCTGTGAACTCCATAAATATTAAGATGTATATGTGTTCCAGCAGGTACGACATATGAATCTGAAAAGTATTACAAAATTTAAAAATTTTTTAAATAATAATTTTTTAGAAAAATAAAATGTACGTAATATTGTATTTTTAAAATGTAATATACAATACTATATTTTACGTTCGATAGTATATGCTTCGTGTTATGTGACATAAAGTGATTAATTACTTAATTTTACATCTTCCGCAGTTTTGCGTAATATTAAAAATACGCTGGGATACAAACGTAACGCTTCTTTTAAACATCTGTCTAAATATGATAAATTTTGCAATGATTTCATGGTAAGTTTCCCTCCGTTCTCTTGCAATACGGTATTAATTTCAGTCCTCACACGTTCCTATGTCATCGAAAATAATTAAAATATATTTTTCAATTAAGGTTTTTATACGCATAATTTTAAATAAATTTATAATAAATCATATCAAAACATATTATTCGTATTTGTTTTGAGATGTTTTAATTTTTTGCAATTTATGTATTAATATATATATATATATATATATATATATATATATATATATATTATATATATTAATATATAAATTGCAAAAATTTTCTATATATATATATATATATAGAAAAATACACTGTAAACAAAAACTTGATATTTGTACTATTTTGAATAAAAATCGCAATTTAAATAACATATCATAAGATATTGAGGTATCTGAGGTTACCTGAACATCTTTGTGTTCCGCTAATAATAACAAAGCAAACATTATACCCGCTGCTGTAGTATCATGACCCTGTAATCAGATCATCATATTGTTTTAAATAATATCCAAAAAATTAAAAAAAATATTACATATACGTACTTCAAACATGAAAGTATCGACTTCCTCTCTTATGTCCAAATCAGTTAAAGAACTTTCTCGAGATGCCGCTATTAAATGGTCCAACATGGCTAGCCGTTTTTTTTTAACTAGAAATAAGCAAGGCATATTAGCATCATTTTTGCATATTGCGCTTTAACTATATAACATTGTTCTGGTTTAAAATTTAAACTTTTTTGCAAATAGTAATAATTTATTCTTATAGCGAACATGTATTGCATCATTTCGTGTAATTATACATATATATTTAGTGTAAATAGAGTATAATTTATAATTTTAGATTGTAAAGTCGAATTTAAGTTAGAAGCTCTAAGTTCTCACATACTTCCAAATACTTCGACATCTTCTGCCTCCATCTCTTTATTATCTCCAATATTGTTTAAATATCGATTACCTGTACGTTCATGATAAAGTTTTCTTTCCACAATGACCTATACACAAATACTATATTTAATTTTTGTATTAAATAGCAGTGGCATATTATATTACATTATAAATGTTAATAATTATTAATATTACGAGATTTATTATAATTTTTAAAAGTGTTTGAAGGACTTGAGATAACATGACTTATAACGTACTTTTTCTGTAAATTCATGCAATATCTTCAAGATTTTTTTTTGTTTTCTTCCTTGTGGTGTTAATGAGAATATTAAATCATTATACAACCAAGGCCTTATTATTCTAAACCGAAATTTCATTAAGTTATATAATATCAATAAAAATGTTATTATTTTGTAAAGTCATCATGAAGAAATAGAGTAATCTTAACTCTAAATTATCATAGGTTATAGACAATATATAAAAAATTTAAAATAAAATATTTAATGCAGCATACACAATACATTTTAATTGCTAATTACGGGTTTAAACAAATCAATATTTATATTAACATTTATACAGGGTGTCCCAGACCACCCGTCTCACTCGATTTTTTCGTAAACGCGACATTTTAAAGAAAAATGTTTCAGACAAAAGTTTTGTGACTTCGAGGGGACATAGATGGTGTCATTGGTTTGACCTTGGATAGTCGTTTGAAGATCACGTGAAGGTCACCTTTAATTTCTTAAATGGAAACCCCCATTTTTCAATGCATATTCTTGTAGCTTATCTCGAGAGCTTTCCAAAACACTATAATTAAATATTTCTTCATTGAGTACTTTTCGAGTTATGAGGCTTGAAATCATTTCTTAATTTTACATAAACCATAAAATATCTAGTAAATCATTCATTTTTCGATTATCTTACCTTCATACTTTTATGTACAAAATAATGAGAGGAATCAATTGGTGTAAAGAAAACATACAGTTGTTTTTAAGAAAAAATATGGAATTGTTAATTGCAAATTACATATTTTTTCTTAGAAACAACTATGTGTTTTCTTTACACCAATTGATTCCTCTCATTATTTTGTACATAAAAGTATTAAGGTAAGATAATCAAAAAATGAATATTTTACAAGATATTTTATGGTTTATGCAAAATTCAGAAATAATTTCAAGCCTTATAACTCAAAAAGTACTTAATAAAAAGGTACTTAATTATAGTGTTTTGGAAAGCTCTCGAGATAAGCTACAAGAATATGCAATGAAAAATAGGGGGTTCCATTTAAGAAATTGAAGGTAATCTTTATGTGACCTTCAAACGACTATCCAAGGTCAAACCAATGACACCATCTTATGTCCCCCTCGAAGTCACAAAACTTTTGTCTGAAACATTTTTCTTTAAAATGTCGCGTTTACGAAAAAATCGGGTGAGACGGGTGGTCTGGGACACCCTGTATAAACAGTTGTTCACCTTCACATGACTTTATTAATCAATCTATTTTTTTAAAAGTATAGCTATATTATTATAATAAAGCATCATAGATAGATCACACAATTATTTATTATAGTTATTTATTATATTATGTCATATATTGAATTACCTATAAAGTATCAATTCGATTATTTCGTGAATTGCATTTCGATACTGTTGTTGGGACTCGTCGAGATTTTGCAAAGAGACGCCCATGGCAGTTTCTAAAATATATTTATTATACAGAGTTTTCAGAAATCGTGGACATAAAATGCACAGTATGATTGTCCATGCCAGTAGAGACAATTTTTTGTCTCTGCTAAAAGTGCGTTTAAATACTACTTTTTAAACGGGAACAATTAATTAAATTACACATAAATCACAGGAGTACGCGCACAGAGTTTTACGATATTATTAAAGATTTTATAAAAACTATGCATATTTCAATAACACTATTTTGAATACAATTTATTTAATAAGAGAACATAATTCTAAATATCACTGAAAAAACGATTGAAAATAAAATAAATAGAATAAATAACATGCGAATAATTTTGATTCCAAATTACGGTTCTCATATAGCACAGAAGTTTGCATCAACATTGCTGCAATGTTACAACATTGCACATTGCAGTGTAATGCTGCAGAAATATTGCAGAGATATTATTTTATAATGTTACTTTGGCAATATTGCAGCAACATTTTAACATAACGAAAATGTAGAACATGTGTTTCTTTACTTGCCGCTACGACGGCACCAGACTTAACTACATAACTCGTATTCGAATTTTCGTCTAAAGTGAATGTAAGGTCTATAAAAGACTAATGCAGTAATTATATTTCATGTCTTGAATCGGTTTAATTTTTAATAAATTGACTTGATTTATTTAATATTCTGAATTCTAATAAGGGATCTAGATTATTGAACAAATAATTTATTTAATAATCTGGATCCTTTGTTGGAATTCAGAATATTAAACAGATTTTTCTTCACTGAATGGATAAATAAAAAATAGTTAATTTATTGCACGTATTAAAATTCTGGTGTCGAAGGTATGTGAAATAATTGTATGTATATTATTGAGATAAAAATTTAATAAGAAAACATTTATAGATAAAAAACGAATTACTAATAAATCTATTAATATAAAACATTAATAAATATTTTTTAAAAGCGTGAAATTTTTTTAAAAGGAAATTTTTTTTCCATTTTTTTTAAACATTTTTTAAATCTTTTCGAAGTTTATTTATGAGATTTAAAACGGTCTGCATTTGTACCAAAACGCGTTTTAATATTACAAATACATTGCACCGTAACATTACTACAATCTTACATTGCAATATTTCTAAAAACATTTTAACGTTGCTGCAATCCCACAGCAATGGTGCAGCAACATTTTGCAGTGAATCTGCAATGTTGCAGTATTGCGGTGAAAGATTGCTGCAATGTGTATGCGATCTTTGTGCGTATAGGTTTAAAAAAATTAAAAAGTAAACATAAAATAATGGACAGCTCAACCTAATCTCAAGCACGCCGTACGATATTGACAAATACATCGAGTTTTTCGTGCACAAGCAATGAACACGGACTTAATAACATATCTAATGTAGATAAAAAGATGTACGCTTACGTGAAAATAAAAAAAAACTTTTTTTAGAAAATTTTTTACGATTAGCGATACACATACATATATATTTATAAGTACATAATTATAAGAAATTTCATTAAATTTGAACAGAAAAAGATTTGTTAAACAAAACACATTTGTTTGAAAATATAAATAAATAAAAAATATTTTTTATAGAAAGTATAGGAATTATATACTTTCAATTCATCTACTTCATTAAACTTAAAATCGTAAATTCAAAATAATAATCACTATTAATAATTCAATTGAAACAGTTAGATGAGTTTGCTTATGTCTGCCAAATTCCTTCCTCTATAAATTGATACATCACTAATTAATCCTCATTACTACGCGCGAAAAATCCGACTTTACTAATTTCTTGTCGTACACCATATCTGATTCAACTGCCTGTTTGGTGTAGAGCACTCATTCGTTAGCTTAAAGTTATTTTTATTTCAAAAGTAGTCTTCGGACAAATTTTTAAATAAAAGAGTTATTTCTTCTGGCACGCACAGTCAAGCTTTGCATTTTGTCCACGAATTCTGGCATACTCTGTGTCGTGATCGAAGATTATTACGGGGAATATTTCATTGATAGTTTTGACAATAAAAAATCGAATATTATTTATTTGCATTGTACTATTGTATCCATGCGTGTGTCTACGTCGCGGTATGTGTGTGTGTGTGTGTGTGTGTGTGTGTGTGTGTGTGTGTGTGTGTGTGTGTGTGTGTGTGTGTGTGTGTGTGTGTATGCATGTGATACTTCGTGTAGAAACAAATTCTTTTCTTAAGTTATAGAATTCATATCAATATCATTTAGAATATTATCGCATATTGCGTTTAGCGTATATTCACTGATAAATGGTAATAAATCCTTCACAACTGTCCCTCCGACATCCTTCAAAGATTTTGTCATGCAATCACCTTCCTTGATCAAGATATCAACAAACTGATTTAATATATTGAAATGGAATGCAGGAGTTAACATTTTTCGCCGTGTTTACCATTTAATGCCTGAAACAAAAACAAGATAAAATTATGCGATAAAATACAAATAATAGAATATAAGATTTATATTATACATATTATAGTGTCTCTCTTACAATTAATTTAATGTTTGTTTATTGGATATTATTAAATAACAATATTATTCTACATTTATTTTTTTTTGTATCGCAAAAATCTTTTATAATACTTTAAATGTATTTTTTTATGAAATTTCTACGCTAAGTGTTGAAAGTATTAACTTGAATTTAATTATTATTTTGTAATTAAATCTTTATATCAATCAAAAACAAATTGCAGAAGGCTAAAAACCAAGCGCCCATGTACGAGCGTAAAAATAAAAAAATATGTAATTATTATCAACAATTTACATTAAATTATAATAAAGCAAATAGAAAATCGATCGACAAACGTTTCGGCTTAATCCAGGTTTTTATCAATGTCATTACAAAAATATTATAAAACATGAACAAAAATATTATAAAAAAATATAAAATCGTAAATTAACATTTAAATCTTTATAGATTGTTAAATAAAAAATATACTAAATTTTATTAAAATTGTCTGTTACGTAATGATGTATGATTTACTTTTGAAAATTTTAACAGGAATATCTTATAGAGAGATCATATCTATTACTTCTATTTAATTGAGAATATGTGTATCCGGCAAAATTATCTCTCGAAATAATCCCATTTGCAGGTTTCTTTTAAATTTATTAATTCATAAAACGATATTTATTAATTTATAAAACGATATTTAATTATTAATACGATTTAAACGATATTAAATTTATTAATTTATAAAACGATATTTATTAATTTATAAAACAATAAAGTTATATAAATTATATTATATATATTCATCATTTAAAAAAGATAATATTTAAATCTAATTATAATATTTCATTGTAGTTATTTTATTTTTTGTGATAAAGATAAATTACAAACTATAGTGCAACCGAAATAATTAAGTATTTCGAATGAGAAAAATTATTGCAACTCTCTCTGGATGGGAGTCTTATTAAAATTGAGTGTATTTGTACAATGCGTAATTTACTTGTCACACGAAAATTCCGTTACTTAAAAAAATCATGTTTGCTCCGACCGGATTTATTTATTATTCAGTATAGCAATTCCTATTATTTTTTTATTTATTTAGTTTATTATTTGTCTTCTACTTTGCGTTGTTATGTTCACACAAGGGGGTGCTAAGAGAGTGTTCTAGTCTAGAAGCTGAATTTTTATATGTTATTTTTTAAAATTTTTTTAAGTAAGTTTTTTGGGATGTGGTTTTTCTCACCGCATTCCAAAAACTTATATGTACTTGAAGTATATTTTCAAATTTTTTTTACTAAAAACTAATTATAAACAAATGTAATACACAAAATTGAATAACGTAATAAAAAAAAATTTATTCTTATGATGGCTGTTCTGGTATGGCTCTTATGATTCTTGCTATTCTGCTTCTAAAATCTAAAACAAAAAACCAGAGAGATTCTTAATTAGTATGAGTTTGGCTATAGCAGATATCGAAATGAAAAAAATATTGAAATTTTAAAAACTGTAAAAAGGCTCTAAAAAAATAAAAAAAATATTTTGAATTGATTTTGGGAGGTGCTGTAATTATACTTATGCTGAAGATGTATGCATATACGACTCAATTGATCAACTGGTTTTAGAGATATCATAAGATATCATAAGATATGTGAGGGGCAAAAATAAAATAACGTATTTAATGTTTTTCACATTGATTACATAGAAATAATTTTACTTACGATCAATCAGCTAGTGCAGGGCCATGCAGGAGGCCTTCTTCCTGCTTATAAAAGTCTTACTGCGCTGTTCTCTCTTCCCTGCGATTTAGTCTCTCATTTTTAAGGAAATCAGTTGAACGCCGTTTCGTGCGAGTATTCTTCCGAAAATTTGCGTACATCTCCGCATGCTATGACCAAAAAAGTTACTCATTAAGTTCATAACTTTCAAAATATAAATCCTTCATTGAAGATAATAACTACCAGAAAAGTTGCCACTTCAATCTTTGCCCCAGAATGAAGATGTTTTGGAGCAAAAATCCAAATTAGTACGTTTAAAAAGCTTTAGTTATTATTTTGCGTTTCTCCTAAACAACGTTCCAGCAATTCATTAGCCGAACCTAACCAAAATATAAATGCCGACACAATGCTCTATTGTGCACCACGCAGCCGGAATGCTGAGCGCGCGACGGAAATCGCTCCTTACCAGGTGCTATAACTATACCAATTTTGTGAATCGAGCTAAATCTTCTTGCAGACATATTTTCCATACCAAATATTTGCAAAATATGCAAAAAGAAATCTTTGTTTCCGCTAGACTAGAATACTCTCGCAATACACGATAACAAACTGTAATAATGTTTGTACGTTTTTATAGGTACTAGTGAGGAAACCTGCGCCGAACTAGGGATGTAGTATATTGTATGCACGACATTTATCAATGTGCTGAGTGCTGTTTAGTATTTTCTAAAATCATCGAAAACATCTATTTAGTAGCATTCAATCTCAACTGCACAAATAATTTACTAATTGTATCTCACATTTTAATCTAATCTGTATAGAGTTCTGTATTGATCTTTTTTATATTTTTAAGGAATATTTTAAGAATATTTTCAACGAAAATCTTCTTGTGACAAGATACAAGATTCCGTAATCTCTAGCTAAAGTAATGTCTATAAAGAATTAAATCTTGTCAGAAATTTCTTTATTACCTTCTTTATTTCCTTATTACATCATCTGAATGACGAATAAACACAACAAATTCGTGTAATCCCTATACTTTTATAATAGGATAATACTTATCAAATAGTGTACATAGTGTGAATTTCCATTGTTCCACTAAAAATTATATTAAATATCCATACAAATAATACTAAAAAATATATTAAATATCCATACAAAAATTAAATAAAATAAATCATAATTAATTAAATTTGAATAAGATTGAAAATTATTTTGAATAATAATAATTAAAAATTAATTCAATATTGGCAAATTTAAAGACACAGCGCAGTAGTTGGAGAGCAAAAAAGAAATAGCATTTCTTTCCTTCTAATTATTCGTATATTTCAAATTAAATATTATTACACTGACAGAAGCGGACGTTTTGAATGATCTTTTGATCCCCCCTCAGTTCAATGCAATAACGCATTAAATTATAAAAATATAACGAACTGTCTTATAACGATAGATAACGTTAGAATAACGTTGTGTAGATAACGTTAAATTATATCTCGCAGATATCTGGTACATTTTACATAATTATTTTAAATAATTCCTCATATTATAGTACTGTAATGTGCCAATGTGTTAAATCCAGAGTCTGTAAACTCCTTTGTTGGAATTTGTACCAGCGTTAATAACGTCTATCTAGAAATCTGCTTTCAGATAATACGAACTATCTTCCGAAAAAATCAATGTAGTGGATTAAAATACCATAGATCAAATACGATTAAAGACATGTGTTACAATATATTATTGTCAATTGTAGTGTTAATTAATTGTTTAACACTACAATTGACAACAATACATTGCATTACCATTACATGAAACTTTATATATTGCTGCATGAAATTTTTGGCATTATGTTTTTATGACAAAAACTACGAAATTTATCTAGGCCGAAATAAAATAATCTCGTGTAATTATCGCTTATAAAAAGATGCCATGCACAAATTTTTAAACATTGAAATTACATTAGAGAATGAACGTACCGAAGAAATGCCTGGTACAAGTCCACTACATTCATGTAAAATAGTTAAAAAGACAAATGAAAATCAGGATTTTCAGGATTATATTAGTTTTGATCATAATCTTGAACATAATTTAAGTAGGAACTGTAAGTATATCAAAAAAATTAGTGCTGTTTGCACTAGATTTAAGAATAATGATAGGCTAATTTATTTATTTATTCATTATTCATATATTAACTTTCTTTCACACACGTGTTATATAAATTTTTGTTTTAAGAACACAATAAACACTGAGAAGGAAAGTACAAGTGCTGTCGATTATAAAAAACTTAAAGATATAGGTGTCTGGCCATTATGTCTAACTCAATCTCAGAAAACAATTTTAAGAGAAAAAGGCCTTGAAAGACATTACCTACATTACTATCCAAAAGATGACAAAAACAGATCCTTTTGTAAAATATATTATAACAGAAAAATGATATATTGTATTATATCAGAATATAATATATTATAACAGAAAAATAAGCAATGGAGAACTAATTGATAGGGCATGGTTAATATATTTATAAACAAAAAAATCGTATTTTTTATTTCCCATGCAAGTTATTTCGAACTGGTTTAGGTCAACTTGAAACCAATGGTTTTAATGAGTGATAGCACACATCAGAGAGATTAAAGCAGCATGAATTGTTTAAAATACATTTTAAATCGATGGATATGTGGAATGACGCATGCAAAAGCTTACAAACAAAAATAATATTATTCACGTGTTTGAAAAATTATTTATCCAAGAAAAACAAAAATGCAGGAATATTTTAGAAAGAATAATATCTATTATCCAATACCTATCCGAGCGTAATATGACCTTAAGAGGTTTGTCTGACGTGCTTTTCACAAAAAATAATGGGAATTTCTTAGGATTAATTGAACTTATGTCTCGGTACGATCCTGTTTTGATGGAACATGTCAATGAAGTAAAAAATAAAGTTTATTATCTCAGCAAAGATATACAGAATGAATTAATATCATTGATGGGAAATTAAATTAGTAATACAGCGACTGATCGTGTGAGGGCTGCCAAATATTTTTTAATTCTCCTTGCACACCTGATACTTCCTATGAGGAGCAACTATCCTGCATAATACGTTTATGCACATGAAGACGAAGTACAAATTTGTCAAAGTTTTACAGGTTTTTTGGTTGTCAAAGACAGTAGCGGATTGAGATTAACACAAACCTTAAAATCAAACATCTAACAGATCTTGGGCTTGATTTAAAAAATTGTAGAGGACAAGGATATGACAACCGGGCAAATATGAAAGGACACAGATCTGGTGTTCAGGCACAAATATTATGAGAAAATCAAGGAGCATTTTTCACTCCATGTGGTTGCCATAATTTAAATCTCGTACTTTTCGATATTGCTAGTGTTTCTTCCAAGGCTATTACATTTTTTGGAGTTATTCAACGCATATATACTTTTCTGTCAGCTTCTAACTATAGGTACGATATTGCGAAAAATATTTAAAGTTTACACCGAAATCATGATCTGAAACTAGATGGGAATGTCGGACAGAAAATGTAAAAGCTGTACGGTTCCAAGTTAAAGAACTTATAAAAACATTTGAAGAAATTTTAAGCGTGCGAGCCTGAAGACTCAAAAATTGCTAGTAAAACACAATCTTTGTTGAAAGAAATTAAATCTTATCAATTTATATTATTAACCGTTATATGGTACGAATTATTCGTAGAAGTGAACAGAGTGAGTAAATTGGTGCAACAAATTATGCAAATGGATGTCGCAATATTATTTCTAGAGGCTCTATTCAACAGACTATTAACTTTTAGAACTAATGATTACGAAAGTGTGCGAATTGCAAAAAATATTGCAGCAGAGAGTAGCATAATACCTTATTTTTCTCAAAAAAGGATTGCTGTTACAAAACGTTTGATTATAAATGTGCTGATGAAATAATAGCCCCAGACGAGGAGAAATTTGCATGGAATATTTCTTTTTAATTATTAACAAGGCCATACAATCGTTTATTGAACTTTGTTATTGATTCAAACTATATCAGAATTTTAGAGACAATTTTGGGTTTTTATATAGTTTTTGTAATATTAAAAATTTATCTAAGGAAATACTGAAAAAGAACTGTAACGACCTGTACATTATATTACAAGATGAAGGTGACTTTGATATAAGTGGATTAGAACTATTGGAAAAATTAAGATCATTAATTTATATAATTCCTAATGAACAAAATTGTCTGTTTGATATATTAAAATACCTGTTTAGAACCAAACTCAGTTCAGTTTATCCAAATATATATATATAGTACTTCGTATATTGCTAACTTTACCTGTAACGATTGCTTTTTTAGAAAGGAGTTTTTCAAAATTAAAATTAATTAAAAACTATCTTCGTTCTTGTATATCGCATGAAAGACTATCGGGTATAGCAATGATGTCGAAAATAACATATCTCATGAGACTGATTTTAATAACGTAATTGTCTTTGCCGCAGCAAAAGCGAGAAAAATACATGTTTAAATTTACATATAATTTTTATTATATTTAAGTTTACATATTATTGTATGAAATTTTTTTTATATCCCAAAGCAAAAAGTCAAGAGTTTTTTATTTTTAAATATGTAATACAAAAATAACTATTTCTATATTTATAAAATAATATATCTTTTTTATTTTCAGTGAAAAATAAATATATAAAATAGATTTCAATGTGAAAGATAATATAAAAGTTTTATGTCCAACATTTTATATCATACCCGGTCCCGCTCAGGTTAGAACCGGCCCTGCTGGAATATGACAATAAAAATGCACGATCCATCAATTTTACAATTATTTTTCTCTTATAACATAGTGATTCGATTTATAATTTAGATATCTCCCAGAAAAAGTGGGTTTATGATCTCAAATTCAATTAAATTATTGTTCGCGACTATCGTAACATAAAAGAAATTAAATTTATTATTCCTTCCTCCATTGAAATCTCGGATGAAAAGAGTTAAAAATATCCAAGATCCTATTGATGGAAGAGGGAATCGTCTGAGCTATATCATCCACATATCTGTAATAAAATAGCAAATTGAAAGAAATATGTCCAATATCATCATTGAATCTCAAGTCAACATGAGAGATACACAACAACATATCATTATCAATTTGTAAAAAGCTAGAATCTGATGAATCATGTTTATAACTAGTAATTAAAATCAAAAAGAAATTGGCATAAGAATTAATGCGCGATTGGAGCGCAAAGAAGCAAGAACACTTCTATCTTTTTTCAATATTAGTTTATTAAAAAACACATTATAATAACAAAAAGCGAACGCTTTTGATCCCTCTTCAGCTCAATGTTAACAATATGCATTACAAAGTGTTATATAAGTGTGTATCGCATTGAATTATAAAAATATTTGCCCTTGACTCGTAGATTAAAACGCATGTAATGTGCCAACGTGTTAAATTCTAAAAGATTATCTGAAATATTTATTTTTGTTAATGTTGTAATTTATTATTATTTAATTAAATTTATTTTAAAATATAATGTTGTAATTTATTATTATTTAATTAAATTTATTTTAAAATATATAATCAAAAGAAAGGAAGTGTTGTCTCTTTCTTGAGCTCTAATTACTGTGCCGTCCCTTGTAGAAAAAGTAATAAGGTTTTAAAAAGGACCTGATTAATATGCCTTAATTAATTCCCTACTAGAAAGAAAACTTGGACCCTACATGGCTTGTAACAAATGGCCAATCTACTTCCTTCTTTCGTTAAGGTCGAAAATTGACGGACACCCTGTATATCTATGTATTTAAAAATTTTTTTGTATTTTTTATAATGAAAGGTATGAAATAAGTAAGTTTTTTTAAAATTTTTAGAGAATTTATTTTAGAGAATTTTTAGTTTTTAGAAATTCTTTGTTAATTGAATTCATTGTACATTAATGTTATTATTAATGTAATATTATTAACTTCTTTTGAATTTTTATAAATTAGTATTACATGAATTCTTCATTTTAAAAATGCGGCGCAGTTAAAAAATCTTTATAAGGGCCTTTTTATTTATTTTCATTAAAGTTTGAGTTTCAAAATTATTTAATAAAATAATTTAATAAAACCTTTAAATAATTTAATGAAACTTTAAATTAAACTATAAATTAAACATCGGACAATTATTAGTTTTTTTTATTATATGTCCTTAATAATATTTAATAAGGCCCCATATTAATGATGATAGGATAACCTTTTCTATGGCATCCCTATATTATCCTTATCAGGGCCAATAGTTTCATGTAGCCCTATAAATTCTAATAGGTTCATACTAACCAATAGTTTCATACTAGCCCTAAAAATTTCTACACGGGGTGTCTCTAAGTTGTTAATTTTGATTTAATCTTTAATTATCGATTCAAAAATTTTAATGAGACTAATTTTATTGTTATTTTTCATATTAACGCATTTTAATCTTGGAAACAGACAAATAATAAAAAAAATTAATAACAAATGGTTATTCCAAAAAGAAATGCTCAGATATGTAATCTGCATGTAATAATCTTGGTATACATTTAGAGCAAAAGATTTATAAATTTAATATTTTTGCTTGAATATATGCATGAATGACGAGTCATTTGTCAATTAACGTAAATAGAGTAGAAATGTTGTACTTGGCCTGCTGAAACTTGGGCTAGGAATGCGTGACCAAAAATCGGAACGCTCGGAGGTCCCGGTAAAAGATGAAGAAATCGTCCTTTTCTTCCATAATGTACGTAATAATAATATATCGATATAATAAATATGAATCGATATAATAACAATATATTTATAAACATTGTTCCTTAACGTTGATATTTTAACTGTCAAATTAAGCTTCTTCTGTTTATTGTTTCTTTGATTCTTCACACATGTCACAAATTAATTCTCCGACAAAATTGATAATTATCTTGTTATTCTAAATGTTAATCCTAAGTAGAAAGAAACATAAAGAGAGAAAGAATAATAGTAAGATCACTGAAATGCGGAATAAATCATACATTTTTTTTATAATTAAC